ATTATTACATTCCATTATATGAATTTATGTTGTTGAAAAATCGAAAAAATAGTGTAGGATAATGTTTTTTCATCTACTCATTTTTAGTAAAAGATATAGACATCAAATTTTGTAGTTATGTAGTACTACATATGTACACTAACTTCTGAAAGTTTGTTTTCATTATGTGTCAAAACAATAAATTTTAAAATTTCCTCAGAACTTCTGGAATACCCTTTAAGTTTTTGTTATGATTATTAATATTTTTCATATATTGATATAAACCTGTATAAAATTATTAATTAGTATCTATAGTCACACTTGATGTCGACAGTGAAATTTCTATTGATTATTATTTTTTATTCTATGCACTAAATTTATTGCTCTGATTAATTAATAAGAGAAGAAAAAAAAACAAAAATAAGTATTGTTCATGTAAATATCAGAATAGTTAATAGAATTGGCCAGGAGGCATATTATTAAGTTGTTGACGAGCCATTGCTGCTAAAAATGGTGATAATCGTGGATCAGTCATACCACCATAACCTACGAATGGATTTTGAACCTGATTATTTGGATAGAATTGAGGAACTTGTTGTCCTGCAGGCCATTGGTTGTATGATGGATATGAAAAATATGCTGGTGGTGGTGGTGTTACAAATTGTCCCATTGTCATTGGTGAAAAATTATTCCATTGCTGTTGTACTGGATAACCATTGCTAAAATAAAAAACAAAAATATAATCAAAAACGTATAGAAAAAGAAAATCAAACTTGAAATTAGAATTGTTATTATCTTGTAATTTGGGAGGATGTTTTTGATATACATCAAGGATAAAAATAATCAATAGAATAACACAAATTATAGTTATAATTAATCCAAGAAGACCAATCCACCAAGCCCAATCCAGATATGCACCAGAGTGATGATTACGACCTTGAACACTCATCACACCCAACGCAGCCGACAAAAAGATAACTCAATGAGGAAGAACAATATCTTTTTTTCTTAAAATTTGCTTTTAATTAATGTGAACTTACTAGTGAGAAAGAGAAGAGCTGCTGCACCGATAAACATATATTCTATTGGTATTTTTTGGAGATCGATAATACCCAGAATGATTAGTATTCCAGCAATGAGATACAAGATTATTGAGGTTATTTCAAGACCTTGAGCAGCTCCGATAAAACCTGGTTGTCCAGCGAAAATAATTGCATTCGTGGTACTATCAACGGTATTTCGACTACTCGACCATGTACTACATGAGCGTGATGCTGATTGTACTCCATAACAAACACGCCACAAGCCAAATTGAACATTGTAATCAGTATAAGTGATCCATGCAAGTCCTCCAAATGATACTAAGTTTAAAATTAATAAGAAAAGATATAAAAATATTATCGATCCTAATAACGATCGACCAAGAAAATTTGATGGAAGAAACACCATCGTTTTAAACGTAGAAGGTCTGAATGCTCATTCATCCGTACGTAAGTCACATTTTTTTTCTTTTTCGTTCTACCTTGACGATTCTATTTTTTTCGCTCAAGGTAATAACAAAATCAATTTGATTCATCATTAATAAGTTTTTTATTCGTTAAATAAACAAAACACCATATCTGTTATATAGATAGATAGATGTCTATGAGTGACGTGTAGTATATTAATTTCCAATTAGAATTAGACTCAATATAAAACTACATAAAAATCTCATCTATCACAAATACAACCATATAGTCACTTTCCCTTTCTTTCGGGTAAGCTCTTCAAAATGTAAACACAGAAAAAAAGAGAGAAAATAATTTACTAATGAGACTAACATCCGATTATCTTCAATGACGGCAAACCTATTTGAAACTTGGTAACAAATATAACTAACTTTATCATAATAATTCAAATAAAATTGTTTAAATAATGAAAAAGAAATACTATTATTTTCTTTATTTAACAAATGTGCACAATATAATACGTATGATTTTATATTCTTTATAAAAATATAAAAAAGACATCGGAGCTATACTGCATAAAATATTTTTCAGATGACAACTTAATGAATGCTACACATCGTTAAATTTAACGAGGTTCGTATATAGCGTTACTCTGTTGTAAAGAATTCTATTGATAGTTTTATTAAATTATCAACTGATGCAGAAGATTGTCATAAGTTTATCATTGTTGATGATTTTATTCTGATAAACGTTAATAGATAATAAATATAAAACAACTGACTTTACGGACAATTTTGCTTTAGTCGCTATAGGAATAAGGTAAGTTTTGAGATATTTGTAAGTATTGAAAATATTCATATGTCGCATACTGCATTTTCTCAACATAACGTACTGTACTTTCTTCTACTGTATTATCGCATTTCATATCGTTGTTTCGATATGAACCACAATTTGTCATGCTAATAATAGTTTTGCAAATTTCTCGAGAATGATTTGTAGTTATAAATCGATTCTGATGTAATCATAATCTAAAAATTTAATTTAATTCTCTCTCTAAAAGCTTCATTCAGTCATTTTTAGTTCGAGAATTCGTCACTTTTCACATCGATCAATAGACTATTTTTCTTGTGTATACATCTTTCTTTCTCAGGTGTTTTGGATTCGTTGATCATATTCTCTTTCTCGTAGAGAAGAGTCCAGTAAACAACGAAGACCAATTTTTTAGAAAAGACATTTCTAGAGATATTTCGATGCAGGGACTTCGAATCTGGTGTTAGTGTTTGCAAGTTATATAAGCAAAAGATTCCGTAGCATTGTAGAGCACCATTTCTATGAGAAAGAACTAAGCTAGTCCTTAGACGAGTGTTACTTGTACATATATAAGTTAGATTGTTTATTCTTTGATTCATTTCGATTAAATAAAGTACAAACGATCAGCTATTTCGTCAGACGTATATCTTCTTTTTTTATTCTAGAATATCTTTCACTCACGGCTTTGTATTTCAAAATCTTTCTTTGTGTGATAACATTCTGTTCTCTTTCTCGTAGAGAAGAGTCTTATAAGAATAAATTGTCTGCTCACTTGCTCGTGTGTCCGCACTTCATTGTTGTTTAACAAAAACATTTCAATCAAAGCACAATATACAATAAGCTTTAAAACAAATATTTTATTTTATTGTGGCGATATATTTAAAATATGGATTCTAACTAATGTTTTTTTGGAGTTATATATTTTTTAATGTATTTTGTAAAAACAGTTAATGTTACATTTTGAATTCGAACTTCCAGTAATATTCTATGGACATGTAACTTGAATACAAGCTGTGGATGTAGTATTACTTTTACCAGGATATGGCTCAACACTTTGAAGTAGAACATAATACACTTTGTTGTCTAGAGTTACTTCAGCCTGATCTTGAGGTTGTGCACCAAGAATAAGTTCTGTAGTATTCGAAGCTCTTCCTTTTGAAAGAAGTAAAGTCACGTTTGCTTGTCCTGCCCATATACATTGTACATTCACTGGGCATCGACTATCCTGAAGAGAATTGATACGTAGTGTAGCACCATTACAAACTTGTCCTGTCCCACCTTGAGGAAGACAGATGGAATTTGGACACGGTTTCTTTTTTTCGATGGTTGCCATATCCACGTTAAAGATAAGCACAATAGATGTAAAAATTACCAACGAATGTGAGTAGAGCATGATTACTGGTTTTGAGTACAAAAATTGAGTCGTTTGATAAGGTATATATGTTGCTTATTTGAATGAATATATATATATATATATGTAAATATAATGCGTATATTTTTATATTATATACGCTTTTATCAACATACAAGAGGCCGAACGAAAGAAAAAAAACCTGACTACACAATATTTAATACGTATATGCTTTGCATGACGTGTAATAGGATTTTGGTTTTAGTCATAGCCATGACATCATCAAGTAGTTACGTATTTTGAATAGGTAAAAATAGACGATAGATTTTATCTCAACTGCGTAAATTATAACTAACATCATGAAGTATGATTGAATTACGTTCCTAAATATTTGATTCTCATATAAATAAACGATATTTAAGACGATGAACAACGATGCAGTCATTCGTTAGATTTCATCATAAAATAATAAATATGGAATGAATTATTTTGTAAATAATTTTTCTGATGTTTGTGAATATTTCTATCACAAATGTGAATGTCATGAATTGAAATATTAGTTCATACTTCAAAATAAAAAGATAAAACAGTTAGTTAACAGTCGAATTCCTAAATAATAACTAAAAATTCGAGTGAAAATATCAGAAACAAATAACCGATTACACAAGGTGGTCCATAAATAACATGGCGATAAAAAATTTAAATACCTTAGTTAGATATCGACGTAGCGAACTGTAATTTTTATCATTAAGGGTGTGAAAGTGAAATAAATGAATATCAACAACAACACTCAACCTCAAGATGGCTACTCAAAGATTTTCTATGGATTATATTTTTACAAAACTTTCGGCAAATCGATTTTTCAAGTTGTTTCCTAGGTGATATTGAGGCAAAAGTTCTTCCATATTCTCCACTATCTTTTGTACACGTTGAGAATAATTCAGATGGTAATCAATTTTCTTTTTCTCGTTAAGGTCGATTGTTTCTTTTTTTCTCTTTCTCTTGAATATTATTTCTCTTCTCATTCAAACTCATATCGTTACTATTTGATCACACCTTTCTGAATAGGTCATTATACACGTAAGAAATGTTTATTCTTCTCTTTTACCTTGTCTATTAAAAAAAATCAGTTTATTAGACATCAAACAAAAAAAATCAATATGAATATGACAGAACAAAATAATGACAATCAAGAACATCTGTTAGTATCTTCATCTACTATTAACAATGGTAGTATTACAAAAACTCGACGTAGTTCATCTATACTTACATTGACAGAACCAGTTCTGTTAGTAACAGCAACAGAAGAAGATGATAATGATGGTGAAATAGTAGCTGTATCAAAATTATCTGTTCCGTCTGGTATTTTATACAGTATTTTCGGATCTTTTTTGTACGTTACAGCCACATTCATTATTAAGCAATTAAAAATTGATCAACTCGATGCAGTTATCATGCGTTATATTATACAAACTTTTCTATGTGTAATCTTCGTTATCCATCATCATTATGCCGTATGGATAGGATCATTAAAAGAAAAATGGTTACAGTTTATCTTATGTATTCTAGCTAGTTGTATCTTTCTAGGATATTTTATTGGTCTTCGTTATCTTCCTTTACCTGATTTGACAACACTCGTTTTTACACGTTTATTATGGACGATTATCTTTGGTATACTTCTATATAAAGAGAAATCGACAATAATGATTCTTTTATCTGTTTGTTTTACATTTATCGGTGTTGTTTTCGTAGCACAACCAACGTTTATTTTTAAACAAGACACTGTAGTAGAGATTACTTCAAATATGACAAGAGTAATATTAAATGAAACGAATATACACAATATGTATTCTTTTAACACTCGAGCAATTGGTATCTCTCTTGCACTTATGACAGGTCTTTTAGAAGCATTTAGCATGCTAATTTTTAAACAATTGATCAATTTAAAAATTGAATCAAGTGCTTTAATTCTACAACAATCTTTTGCCATTGTCGTATGTCTGATAGTCAATCAATTGTATAAATATTTTCTTCTAAATGATGAAACATTCTTTACGTTAACAATTTTTCAATGGAAATATTGGTTAGCTGGGCTAATTAGTTTATTACAATCACTTGGAATGATCTGTCGAGTTCGTGCTTTAGGTCGTGAACTACCGTCTATTATTACGATTGTTTCAGCATCAGATATTATCTTTGCCATTCTTCTACAGAATTTATTTACAAAGAATAAGTCGAATTTATGGGTTTTACTTGGAAGTGCATTAATTCTATTGAGTGTTATACTTCTTGGTGTACACAAGTTGGCGCAAGAACAAAAAACTAAGAAGAAGAGTTTGAAGATGGTCATGATATCAAAAACTAAGACGTGATCTTTAAAAACTTCTCTAATCATGTACTGGTGCTTGATTTTTGTTCTCTTTTATCTTTTTTTTGCATATTCTCTTTTCTTCGAGAAATAATATTATTTTTAGTTATTGTTATATATTGCAAATTAATACTATTTACATATCATTAGATATATTTACGTTGTTTGTTTTGCATAAAAAATAAGACACCTTTTAAAAATAAATTATAAGAACTTTCTGTGATGATTTACAAACCATAATAACTGTTGTACGAGTGATGACAGGTCTTGAATTGACGCTAACAATTGTTTCTGATTCATTACAATGTATATGACTAGAGCCACAGTCATCTCAATAGTAATATTATGATGTATAGTAGTACTTTATATTCAGAGCATTTATATAAAAATATATATGTTGAGAAAAAGACAGAAAATAAGAAAATTTGTATTCGGATTGACAGAAAAATCACGAATTATTGGTCAAAATATGAGAATAATATTTATAATTTAAATAATGCCATGAAAAATATTAGATATGCATCAAAACTTCTTCTTTCAGGAAATACATTAAGTGTAAATTAGTATCATATAGTATATTGTCACCTATGTAGACAAACTTACGCAATAAATGTGTTAGTTTCGACATTTGAACGGTTGTCGCTTTTCAATGCATTATCATACTGTTATATTACATTGAGAGAAAGAAAATTTTCTAATTGTTGTTATCATATGCAAGAATGAACTAACTACTAATTTCTCTATAGTTTGAAGTAAAAGATACTAACGAAACATATTCGTATTTATTCATCAAAAAATCACAATAAAACCTGAAATACTTCTAGATACTGAATTATATACTATTTATGAATGTCGGATGTAAGTGCCAACTAGTAATCATATCTATTTACGTCTACAACCTCTTCACATTGATCAATATTGCATATGCATAAATTTCATCGTTATCGTTATGCGCAATAACATTTTTTTCTGATGGTACAAATAATTGCAACGTTGAATCTGTTAAATTTTAGAACAACCAAATATATTTTTGTATTTTTAATTAGATTTTTTCGAGTTCTAAATTATGTATTGATTTGCTCGGTTAAAGAAAATCATAATATTAACTAATAATTCGGTCTTTTTTGTTCTTCGGTTATTCTATATAATATAAATATTGTCTTATGCTGTATTAGACCTACAAAATATAATGATATTCACTTGCATAGCCTAATGCATGTTTGAAAGTTTTAAATGAATTATCATAACCACTACCGTAATCATTACTCTTCTGTAAGGTGTTTCGATAGCAATTACCATTAGGAAGAAGATTTTGATTCATGTTGTGTTGTTCGATTATTACACGAAATTCATCATCACTCCATATATTATCTTTTTCGGCACTTGTCATATTATTATATGAATCGTACGACATAATCGGTGTCTAGTTTAATTAGTTAAAGATTAATGAATAAGTAAATAAATAAACCGTTCTTGTCGACCTATAGTGTGTTAACATGTATACAGGTCAAAAGAACACTTAGTAAGAGAAATACGTTTATGCTGTAACTATGAAAAGAAATGAATGATGATTTGTTAAAATCTAACTAATTGAATAATATCCTCGGAATATTCGATATATTAGTTCTAAGATTTTTGAGAAAGCCTCGACAATATTTTTTGCAAATGAAAAAATACTTTTTGTTTATTCAGACTTCTAAAATCAAACAATTTTTTAAGCATTAAAAAATAAGCATCTAGTGCAAATTTTCTTTTCTTCAATAAGATAAAAAAAGATTGATGTCTTTCAAATTACACACTCATGCAAATAATCTCATATCCTCAAAAACAGAAAAAAATTTATTCATGTAAATTATTTTATCACAACATTCACGCTATAATAGAGAATTTCAAACTCAACTAAATTCTAAACTGACATGCGACATATACAAGTCTTTTGTTCATTTTTTTTAATTACATTTTAAAACCTTTTTAATGTACATCTCCATCCTAGAGATGATCGTAGAGAATTTGTTGAGAGATTCTAATATACATATATTGTGTCATAATAGGATTAAATCGAGTTAAAAGAGAAGAAACTTTTTAAAATCTTAGTAAAATAATTGTAAAAATCTTGATCAAATCTTTGAATATGTAGAAAAATGGTAAATAATAGTGGCGGAGAAATTTTCATTTAATTTGTTTGCGATCGACACAAATTCAATAAGTTTTTGGCGAAATCTGACGGTATTAGATTGGAACTTTAGATTATTACGTGTTTTCCTAGAATCGGATTTCGGTGATTACGGCAATATCTGACGAGTCGATGCAATAGGCATCGATCAGATCTGTTCCAACGTTATCAGGTCTGGAATCCGATGAACTTTCATTTGGCGTTGGTAGACTTTTATCGGAAATCCTACATTGGATCTGGCAGCTTTCCGTAGGATCTACACGTACGATTGAATGACTTGGGCAGATACAGTAAAGTTTTTATGAAAAAAGAAAATTTTCATACTAGTAATTAAAGACTTCCCTTATCAGTCGTGACAGTAATTTCTACTAAAATGCTTCATAAATAATAAATGAGAAGAGAAAGACTCATATTTTTTTTATATTTAATTTTATATTTTCCAGGAAAAGAAGAGATACACAAATAATAAAGAATATATCATTTTAAATAAAGTATCATGTCATCATCATCGATATCTGATGGAATTCTCAGCTTTGCTACACAATACTCGATTTATACTGGTTGTATTACATTTAGTTTTGGTGTTATTGGTAATGTGTTGAATCTTCTCGTTTTTACTCAGTTGAAACTATTTCGAACTAATCGATGCGCATTCTATATAACTATTGAGTCAATTACAAACTTTATTTATCAGTTTGTATCTATTAGTTTAACTGTTTTAACATCAATATATGGAGATGATGCAACAGGACGTTTTCTCATTTGGTGTAAACTAAGATATATATTGGCACAAACATGTGCACTCACTAATTTTTACATGATATGTTTTTCTGCTGTTGATCAATTCTTCTCAACAAACCACCGTTTGAATTTAAGACAAATGTGCACATTGAAACTAGGTCGATATTTTGCGTTTATATTCATTTGTTTTGTGATCATTCATAGCATTGTACTTGGCTCTTCTTACGATATTAAACCAACGTTGGGATGTGTTCTATCGAATTATGTCTGGGTTCAGTACTCAACATATTTCTTTAATCCAATTTTGTACGGTTTTCTACCTATTGTAATTGCATCAACGTTTAGTATCTTAGGTTATCGTAATGTTCGTCGTATAGTTCGACGACAATTACCCATTGTTCGTCGTAAACTAGACAAACAAATAACAGCAATGGTTCTTATACGTGTGATAGCCTTTGTTTGTTTGACACTACCTAATAATGCTTATCGTATCTATGTCATTAATTTTCCTATATCACGAAGTATGCCTATGGTATATGCAGTTGGTCGATTGCTTCAAGCAATTCTTCTGTCTGTCAACAATATAAATTATATGGTAAAATGATTTTCTTTGTTAATTCATATTTGTAACATTTTGACTTATTTTAGATCAGCTTTTATATTTTTATAGTATTCTCATCACGTTTTCGTCGTCAAGTGAAATTTGTTCTAGTGAAAAAATGTTGGCAACGATGGAAATATTGGTGTTGTCACATAAATAATCGGATTGAACCTGACAACAATGTTGTAGCACATAATTCACAAACGGAATCTGATGAAAACATCTAACTGTTCATTAAATACATTAATTCTCATATGTCTATTTTTTCTTAAGGGTGTGTGTGTGAATATGAATTACTGTAATCACCTAGCACCCACATCTACCAACACCCGCATCCTTATTTGTACATGAACCATGTTTGAAATCTTTTAAATAAAACAAAATTATTTAACTTACCAATAATTTTCTTTGACTATAATTTCGTGGAGGTGTATCAAAAATATTCATACTTTGTTCTAAAGTTAAAGAATCAGATTGATTTGTATTTATTTTCTGTAAGAATTTCATCAGAAAAATCTTTCGATGAAAATAATTCATTAAAAAAAATCATTATTTAAATGTGTTTCATTTTCAAATTGATTAAGTTTTATCGAATTGATTGATGCATCAATTACATTCAACAAGGAATGTACATCATTAAAAAATGAAATATCTTTAAATTTATTTTTATTAATAGTAGTTTCAAGAAAACTGTTAATATATTTTTCAACTACTTGATAGTTTACATTAATATGAAAAAATGACTTTTTGTATATCCATCATAAAACCAGTTGAAAAGGTAGATCAAAATGAATTCATTCACATAACATTTCATCTTGAGGAAAACTTTTATAAAAGAATTTCACATGATGCCGAATTTTAAGATGAAACCACTTAAAAACTGGTACCAGAACTTGCCAGATTATATAGGAATACAGGCGTCCTATTAATCGCATTTGTTCGTGTTGAATAGTATAAATCCGACAGGAATCAATTACTGGTACATATGTGATGCAGGGTATTGGCTAGCATTGTATAAACAAAATAATATTCAGTAGTTATATTGTGAACTCATGCCGCTACGTTTTATGGATCAAAAGCAAACTGAATGAATAGCAATTATCAAATGTAAACAACCACAAATAGTTGTCATATATCGAGATAATAATTGCCTCAAGATTAAATAACTTAAGTGAGGCAAACAAAATAGCGTTCAAAATTAATTGCACTTTTGCATAGTGGCGAAGGAGAAAAACTGATTTCTTAATTTCAAATTATTCTGAATTAGTAGAGATGACTTTGTTCTCCAATGGTAGTAACACCGTCGTTGCTTGAAAAAGAAGTAAAAAAGAATTATTGAATTATCATTGATTATTAGAAATCGATTTTTAATGAATTTTTAATCAAATAATCCATTTAAATATGATTTTTATGAAATTTTTTTATGAGCATCTCTGATGAATTTTACATTGATCTTCACAAAAAAACTGGTCGATTATATATGGACCATATTCATATAAATATTTCGCTCCTCGTTATAGATTGTTGACGTGCACTTTAAAAGATTTACATTTTATTTCTTAATAAATCAAAGTCAGTTACTTTTCTATTGAATTTTTACAAGAAATATGGAAAAAAAGTTAATACTTACGAAATCAGTGTTCTGTTATAACAATTCTTTCTCAGATTACATTCGTTTTATTTGGGAACATCTGTTTACCGTATACTGATTGTAAGATATACTTCCTATAAAATTCGGAAATTTTAAATGTGCTTCCGTAATAAAAAGATCAAGACTTTTATTACTATGTTGAATATTTTGTTTTCTTTTTCAGTTATTTTATATAGATATATGAATCAAGATAATAAATAACAAATAATATAACTTCAGTACAAAATTCGTTTACTAATTGTATAATATCCTCGGAACATTCTGTATATTACTTCTCAGATATTTGTGAATATCTCAACAATTTGGTTTTCAAGGGAAAAAATACTTTCTCTTCATTGAAACTTCTAAAATCAAACAATTTTCTAAGCATTAGAAAATGAACATTTCTTGAGAATCTTTTTTTCTTCAAGACGGTAAAAGAAAGTAATATTATCTCAATGTCCTGACCTCTACAAAATAAGCACCCAGTGCAAATTTTCTTTTCTTCAACAAGATAAAAAAAGATTGATGTCTTTCAAATTACACACTCATGCAAATAATCTCATATCCTCAAAAACAGAAAAAATTTATTCATATAAACTATTTTATCACAACATTCACGCTGTAATAGAGAATTGCAATCTCAACTAAATTCTAAACCGACATGCGACATATACAAGTCTTTTTTATATTTTTTTGAATACATTTGAAAAACCGTTTAAATGTACATCTTCATACTAGAGATGATCGTAGAGAATTTATTAGAAGATTCTATAAATGATTGTGGTATATATATGGTGTCATACTAGGATTAAATCGAGCTTAAAGAGAAGAAACCTTTCAGAATCCTAGTAAAATAATTGTAAAAATCTGGATGAAATCTTTATGAAATTTCACGCAATCCTCATGGTATTGATAGAAACCTTGTTGAAATCCTGAGAAGTCATGATGAGATTGTTAAAAAGCGTCGTCAAACTATAGTGAAATCTCCTAAAATGCTTAAAGTCCGTGATGAAATCTTTGAATATTTCGAGAAATGGTGAATAATAGTGAGGGAGACATTTTCATTCAATCCGTTTGCAATCGACACAAATTCAATAAATTTTTAGCAAAATCCGACGATACCAGATCGAAACCTTACGTTATTACGTGTTGCCCTATGATCGGATCGTGGTGATTACGACAATATCTGACAAGTCGATGCGATATGTACCGATTAGATCTTTTCCGACGTTATCTGATTCGGCATTCGATGAAATTTCAGTTGGTAGTGGTAGGTTTTTATTGGAAATCCGACGCGTTCCGGAGAAATCCAACATCGGATTCAATAGTTTCCTGTACGGTTTACAGGTCGGATTGAATGACTTTGGTAGATACAATACATTTTGTATGAAAAAGAAGCATTGTCGTACTAGTAATTACAGACTTTTATTAGCAATCGTGACAGTAATTTCTACTAAAATGCTTCATAAATAATAAGTGAGAAGAAAAACATTCATATTTTTTTTTATATTTAATTTTAGATTTTCCAGTAAAAGAAGAAAAACAGAAATTATAAAAAATATATCATTTTAAATAAAGTATCATGTCATCATCATCAATATCTGATAGAATTCTCAGCTTTGCTACACAATACTCGATTTATACTGGTTGTATTACATTTAGTTTTGGGGTTATTGGTAATGTGTTGAATCTTCTTGTTTTTACTCAACTGAAACTATTTCGAACTAATCGATGTACCTTCTATATAATTATTGAATCAATTTCCAACTTAGTTTATCAGTTTTTATCTATTAGTTTAAACATTTTAACATCAATATATGGAGATGATGCAACAGGACGTTCTTCAATTTGGTGTAAATTCAGATATATAGTGGGACAAATATCTGCGCTCACTACTTTTTATATGATATGTTTTTCTGCTGTCGATCAATTCTTTTCAACAAACCATCGTCTGAATTTAAGACAAATGTGTACATTGAAACTAGGTCGATATTTTGCATTTATATTCATTTGTTTTGCAATCATTCATGGCTTTGTAGTTGGCTCTTCTTATGATATCCAATCAACATTAGGATGTGTTCTATCGAATTATGAATGGGTTCAGTATTCAACATTTTTCTATTATCCAATTTTAGTTGGTTTTCTACCTATTGTTATTGCATCATCATTTAGTATCTTAGCTTACCATAATGTTCGTCATATAGTCCGACGACAATTACCAATTGTTCGTCGTAAATTAGACAAACAAATAACAGCAATGGTTCTTATGCGTGTAATAGCCTATGTTTGCTTGGTATTACTTTATATTACTTACCGAATCTATGTGACTAATTTTCCTACATCACGAAGTGTGCCTATGGCATATGCAATTAGTCGATTGATTCAAGCAATTGTTATTTCTATCTACATTATAAATTATATGGTAAAATGATTTTCTTTTCTAATTCATATTTGTAAGATTTTAGTTTATTTTAGATCAACTTTTATATATTCATAATATTCTCATCACGTTTTCGTCGTCAAGTGAAATTTGTTCTAGTAAAAAAATGTTGGCAACGATGGAGATATTGGTGTTGCTTCATAAATAATCGAACTGAACCTGACAACAATATCGAACAACGCAGTTCACAAATAGAATCTGTTGAAAATATGTAACTATTCATTAAATAAATATATTAATACTCATATGTCTATTTTTTCATGAAGATGGGTGTGGGTATAAATACTGTATTCACCTAGCATCCACACCCACACTCTCGATTGTGCATATTATATATCTGATGAGGTTTTGTCCGAAAATAAATAGAAATACTCAAAAAAGGAAAGTTGGCTCAACAACATCTATTGCACAGAGAAATAAAGAACGTGATTAAAAATGAATCCTGACAAAGTAGATTATTTGGCAGACTCAAATAAAAAAAACGTCAAACTAATCATGACTTATTCATTGACGTCAGTCATTTATCGACAATGATATTTAATATCTTATTTTCACTGAAAACACGTTCGATGATTAATGCAGATTGTGATCAATTCTTCTTTCTCTTTCATCACGTTTTTCTTCATTAAAATCAT